ATATATCTCAAATACAAGCAAAATCCAAGAAATTCCTATTTCCCGCCCGTTGTGCCTTTTGCTTATGTTTATTTCAGAGGTATAGGCTGGAGAAAGTTTTTTTTGGTTTTCTGTCTAGGAGAGATAGAGCAGAGTTAAATAAAAGTGCAGCCATACATAGTCTCAAAATAAAATTTGAGGCAAATCAACATAAATCAAGCAGTATTTTACGTAGAAGGTATGCAAGTTTTTTTGCATAGTTAAGTAATAAACAAAACAGTGATACAAAGAATATGGCTGTAAAATACAGAGATAAATCTGCCATATTTTACTTGGATACCACAAGGGCTTACAAATGTTTAGCGTATTTTATATCCCATATGTGCTTTATTGCTTAAACTGCAGAGAATTTGTACTTTCCTGTGAGACTATTACACTTCATGGCAAAATGCTTGAAGAATTGTCTACATATTTGTACAAGAAATGGTAACAGTTCACATGGTATCATATGGCACAGCTTCGCTACAGCATACACAATATACAGAGTTTTGCATTAAATTTCTATATAGCTTATGTGCAATGGATGACGTTGTTCCTGGAAATATAATTGATGTGTTGTAGTGTATGGGGTCCACAGTCATTCCAGAAGGGTGGAAATATAACAGCCGGGCATTTTCCACAAAAAGATCAGCTCATGTGAAGAGCTCAGTTTATTTTGAAGGGATTATTTAACTGACTTGTCACACTATGTGCAGGTAAATCTGCTTTTTTTTTGAGATTGAAACAATTTGTGAGGTTGATACTTGCCCAGCAAGACCCCACCGTGCTAGTGGCACACATAAGATACGTGCTCAGGTGTTACAAAGATAATTTATTTAGAGAATGTATAGTTTAACAGCTTTGAACCCGCGATGGCCTCTGGAGCTGGAGAGGCAATAAGGAATGTATTTATAAAAATGACGCTTTTCTGCATGTTTTGAAATGCGAGTGGGAAAGGCACGACGGGCTCAGTCGTGCGCTGTGCTGGTTGGGATGCTGCTGCTTCCCCGCCGGGGAGCAGGCGATGCGCGGCCGCGGCCGCAGCGCGGGGGGCGCACTGCTGCGTGACAGGTCAGGATCCCCAGCTGGCTGAGGACCGAGCCGTATCTGCATTAAACATACCAGAGTCAATACCTTGAATTGCACCTTGGAGTGAGTAGGAAGTTATTATTACCGTTTCAGTGTAGGAAGAGGTAACAGTATCCCCCAGGAAGGCACAGAAGTTGAGCAGTATTTTTGCTGCAGATTTGATCTGGGATTTTTGAAGCAACAAAGGACCCAGTAATAGCTACAGCCTATAAAATCTCTCAATAATAGGATAGGATTTCTCCTCCTTACATCCTTGAGATATTAAAATGAAGAAATTATGCTGCAATCACTGTTCATTAAATGCTGGGGGACTGAGTTAATCTGATAAATGGGAAGATTGTTTTCGGGCAGAAGAGGATGAATTGAGATGAGTCGCAGCTTTTGGGTTCACTGAAATTGATGCATTTAGGATCAACTGTTATTTCAGCCAGATTTTTTGTTTGCAGTTTCAATATTCTAAAAATGGTATTTCCTGTTGCATATCTGAATGAGATACCACACGTGCTTGCAATTTAAATGTTATGGGCCGCATAACATATGCGGTAATGGAGATCAATGGCATCTTGTATTGTTTCCCTTTTACTCAAAATGTTTGGGTTACGTTTACTTGGGTCCCGTGGGACCCTTTTCGAGGCAAAACACATCTATCCTGAAGCCTGAGTTTACTGCAATTTCAAGGAAGAACTTCCCAATTCGTAAGAAGGAATTCGGAGCACTTTTTAGAACAAAAAAGAACTTGAAAGGATCACTTCATTGTGTTGTAGAGATGTAAAAGCATCAGAGAACAAGCTACATAAAGTAGAATAAGACTTTTTTTTTTTTTAATACTAGATGAATAGTGCTGCCCATAACACACAAAAGGGTGCCTTTCCTTTTATTAACATGACATTCTACAAACAGCTTTTAAAGATCAGTTTGGATTTTTTTCCTCCATTCCTAGCACTCAGTTTAGGGATCAGTGAGAAATAGTAGGGGAACCGCTATCTATTTCAACACTTACTCCTAGCATGTGTGTTTTGTTAACAGCAGTATCTTTTTTTTTTTAAAAAAAAAAAAAACCACACTTATCTGGAACAGTAATAAAAGGTGAAAGCTACAGCCTCTGACAGGTATGCTGAGAATATTGTAACTGCAGAGGAGAGCTCCATCTGCAAAAGTGAATTTCTTCATAGACATTTATTGACTGAAATTAAATATTTGGCAGGTGAATTTCAAACATCTCTTTGTTTTGTAACAGGAAAAAAACCTGCCGAATAATCTCTAACATCACATTTTAAAAAGTGAATAGTAACAGACGTTGGGGGAAAAAAAAAAAATACTGACATCTGGAAATAATAAAGGACGCTGAAAAACTTCATTTCTAACAAGAAAGGGACACAGGCTGCAAAACGTGTTCTTTGCTGTGAACAACATGCGTATTTACTTACCTTCCCATTTTGTGCTTTCTCTGTCACTGGCACATCCCAGCGCTCTGTGCTTTGCCCCTGCTTTGCCCCCCCCGTTTCCGCCGAGCGTCGTGCCGTACCCCCGCATCGCCCCCGCAGCCCCTCCGGAGAGAAAGGCTTTCTCTCCCCTCGCCCAGCGTGGGTTTTTCTCTCGCTGGCGGTCGCTTATCTCTTGTAAATGCCAGAGGAGTTTTTAATGGCAGCCTTTGAGGCTGTTTCCTAATGCTCCCTATTCACCCGTGCGCCCCACGGTCCTGGCTGTTACAGCAAAAAGCCGTGCGCCAAGTTAGCATCACATAAGCAGTTGTTAACAAATGAGGCTTGTTAAGACGAAGCAAGGCCTGAAAACTTTGAAACTTTCTGATCTAGAAATAATCAATATACACTGCTGAAGGAGCAGCGCTGGCAACCAGAGGGAAAGAAGCACAAGGGTGCGGAATGGGAGGAAAAAATGATGACCAAGTCAGAGACCAAATAGCGGTGATTTTTCTTTCCGTTGATACACTTTATTTTGATGAAGTGACTGTGTGGGTGAAGGACACACTGGTAGTTGTGTGTCTGAGCTACAAGGGTCATTTGTAACTTGTTTGCTCCTTTTCTTTCTCTCTCTCCCTGTAAGTGGTGAGGAGAGTGCTTATAAAATAACAAGCATAGTGCAAATATTTTTACTGAACAAAAAGGTCGAGAGTTCAAAAAATAACGAAGGACCAGAGTCCTTCTCCATTGCAAGCTCTTGTCTGCTCGGCCGCAGAGTGAGCGGGCTGTGCCATGGTTTATGGTACTTTCTTAGCAGCTATAAACCAGCCAAGAAATAATGGGGAAATGGTAAAAACAATGATTTTTAGCATAAGATTTCACTTGGCTGAACTTTGGCATCTTTAGAAACAAACTGTTCTCTAAATACCGGCAATAAAGAATGGCTTTTGTGGTTACGTGATTACATGCTGTAGTGTCATGCAATTAATAAATGGTCTAACTATGTCTGTCTGTGCACAAAGGGCAGTAGCTTTAAGTCATTGTTATCTAACCTTAATTAACGGAGTAATGTATGTGCTGGTGGTTTTGTGTATATGAACTCTGTTTTCCTTGTGCTTTCAGGCAAATGTGAATGTGTTCTGACAAAACCAGAATAACTTTTTATTAAGCGAACGATGTTTATATGTGCCCCGTGGTGCTTCATTGTGCTCGATTCCTTCCCAGTTGTTAGCAATTTATTGCTTGCTTCTTCATCAGTCAGGAGCAGTGGGGAGGAAGAACTTTGGGGAAGACATACCCTGCATAAGGATACAGTGAGCATTTACATTTCAGTGCATGATTTAAAACCATAAAGGCAAGATTAATTATTTACTGGTTGCAGTTCTGCTCTGAGGACATTGAGCTGAGCCCTTTACCAAAGACACTTTATTTGATGAAGCGTAGTTTATTAGTTGGTTTAAAGACCTATACTTTTTCCAGGCCACCAGCCAATTCGCATGTTGTCACTTGGCCTTGGCTTGTGTTTCACCAGTGTTTTATCTCCGGTGGATGCTTGTAGTCTACCCTTCAACAGGGGAGTATTACTCATCCTTAGGGCTAACTTTCTTGCTTGTAAGTCTAATGCTTTTCCATCACACCCCCCTAACATGTCCAGTCTCTAAGAGCGCAAATCAGGGTTGAAGGCACTGACATGAAGTGATTCCTGCCCAGGTCTGGAAGGTGTCTGAGACCAGTCTGTGCATGCTGCTCCTGGCAGGAGGCACCTCAGGTAGCAGCACGGAGTGGGTGATGACTCACAGGCCAGTTCTGGTGGCCACAGAACGCTCCCCGCTGCCTCTCACCTGGGGATGTTCATGCAACTGCCCCGTTGCCTGTGTCCATCGCAGGAGGAGAACATCTGCCTTGGAGAGACCTCAGGAACTGGCTGCTCACTGACTGTGTTACTTTGGTGAGCTGGTTTTGCCCTGATGGCTGTAGTATGTGTACCTTTGCCATCAGCTCTGGGTTGCTACAGCTTTTCAGCAACAACAAAAAACAGCTGCACCATTCTCAGTAAAATGCTTGGTAATGGTGGGGGGAGGAAGGGAAACCTTACCTGGGGCAGATGCCTGGTATGGAACGTCTCTGTCCATATTCCAAGCTATATGTAAGCTGTATAGTAGGAAGTGTTATGCAAGCAGTCCTGTACCACTGTGGGCCTTTCTGCTCTCTCTGGTCTAGAGGCTGCCCTGAACAGCCCGTAAAGCTTAGGTCTCCTTCAGTCCCCAACCAGGGACAGCCGCAGGGAGTTCACGGGCAGTTTATCTGTTTCTACACAGCTATCTTGGATTACGTATGTAAAAGACAAAGTACACGGGATTTGTGAACTGCATGCAAATTTTGAGCTTTGTGTGGTTTGAATTTTGTAAGTGTTGGGTTCGTTTTGTCTTTCAAGATGATTTATTTCTGCTCATGTCTGTTGTTTCTTCATAGATGGTTTGTGGGTGATACACTGCAAGTGTCCCAAGTTTCTCCTACAAGATGTGTTCCACAAATCCAGCAAATTGGGTCACCTTCGATGATGAGCCACTCTTCCAGTCACCTCAGAAACCGGTTGATAATCAGAGTAGTTGTAAAGCAAATGGCCTTAAACTCAATCTGTCTGGTGTGCATGAGACTTCAAGTAGGTCATCTTCTACAGGCAGCACTCCACTCTCATCTCCTGTAGTTGACTTCTACCTAAGTCCTGGACCCCCCAGCAACTCTCCACTTACTACACCTACCAGAGACTACCCAGGAAGCCCATGGATCCCAAAGCCTGGGATGCACATCCTTTACCCCATCCCTGAATGGCCATCAAACATTAACCTTTTTCCCTCCCCCAGCATTTGCTCATCCCTAACCTCAGAGAAACCGAGCAGCCTTCCTTTGAACACCTCGCCTAGCGACCATGCAGTTAAGACTTCAGCCTCCAAATCAACAGATGAAGGAAGCCCTAATCTGCCAGGAAGCTGCGAGGAGATAGGGGAGTTGTCATCGGCACCAGGGTGCTTCCCATACTTCCAGAGCGACTGTGCTTTTTCCAGTCCTTTTTGGAAGGAAGGATGCTCACTCAGCACGTCACCAGCTAATGTTAGCACACACAGGAAGGACAAAGCACTTGACAGGAGCGTCTGCCAACCTAAAGACAAAGAAACTTGCCACAATCAGAAAAGCCTTAACCAGGGCTCCTTCAGCTACATCTGCGAGAGGCTTGAACACCTGCAAGCTGATAGCTGCGACGCCGCGGGAAGCTCGCCTGTCTCCAGCCCTCATCCGTGGCACGAGCTCTCCCCCGCCGTCCCACGCAGCCTCTTCAGGAGCCGGAAAGCAGACGGGTGGCCATTCATGCTGAGGATTCCAGAGAAGAAGAACATGATGTCGTCTCGGCAGTGGGGCCCCATTTACCTTAGCGTCCTAGCCGGAGGCGTACTGCAGATGTATTATGAAAAGGGCCTGGAGAAACCTTTCAAGGAGTTCCAGCTGCAGCCACACTGTAAGCTGTCTGAACCCAAATTAGAGAGCTATAATGTCTCGGGAAAAATACACACCGTGAAGATCGAGTGTGTGTCTTACACAGAGAAAAGGAGGTATCATCCCAAAGTAGAAGTGATTCATGAGCCAGAGGTGGAGCAGATGTTAAAGCTAGGCACCACAGATTATAATGACTTCACTGATTTCCTCGTAACAGTTGAGGAAGAGCTTATGAAACTTCCTACCATTTCCAGACAAAAGAGGAGTTATGAAGAGCAAGAAATTTCCCTGGAAATAGTCGATAACTTCTGGGGGAAAGTCACTAAGGCAGAAGGAAAACTCGTAGAAAGTGCCGTCATCACGCACATTTACTGCTTGTGTTTTGTGAACGGAAGTGCCGACTGCTTTCTAACCCTGAACGACCTGGAGCTCCAGAAGAGGGACGAGCGTTACTTCGAGAAGGAGGAGGAGAAGAAATGGATTGATATTCTCGACCACCGTTTCCATAACTGTGTCAAAGCGCAGGAATTTGAGCAATCGCGAATTATTAAGTTTATGCCCCCCGATGCCTATAGGCTGGAACTGATGCGTTTCAGGACACAGTATAATGGGTCAGATCTTCCCTTTTCTGTGAAGGCTACGGTAGTGGTTCAGGGGGCATACGTTGAACTTCAGGCTTTTATAAACATGTCTTCAACTGCTCCGATCCCAACGCGTTTACCCTCTGTGAAATCCTGTGAAAATGTTATGATACGCTTTCCCATTCCCACCCAGTGGGTCAAAGCACTTTGGACCATGAACCTCCAAAGGCAGAAGTCCCTAAAAGCAAAAATGAATAGGAGAGCGTGCCTTGGCGCTTTGCATGAGGTTGAATCTGATCCCATAATACAAGTCTCGGTTGGAACAGCAAAATACGAGAGTGCCTATAGGGCTGTTGTGTGGAAGATAGACAGGCTTCCAGACAAAAACTCAAGTAAATAATTCTCTCTATAAAATGAATGGCTCGGGTGCATGTCTTCACTGTTTTTATGCTTGTTTACCTCCGTCAGCTGCTGTAGTTTGGGTTTTTATCTGTGTGGTGGTATTGGTAGAAGCTGGAGTAATCACTTAGGAAAAAGATAATATAGCCTTTTTATTTAAAAAAAAAATACATTTTTCTGATTTATTTGATGAAGGCAGATGTATTATTGTCAGTAATTATAAGTGTGCAATATCATGGAAGTAGATCTCATAGGGATCTCATAATTCTGAGTAAACCTCAAATCTGTAGTAAGAAAGAGGGAGGGGTTTATGCTTCACATAAACCAGCTGGGCAATGGTGGGATGGGAAGCAAACACCAGTAGGTAAAATTATTTGCCCACCCAATATCACACTGTTAAGAGAGAAGGAGGTATTGCAACTGTTGGGTCTTGGCTTTCTAGCATCATTTATGAAATGGTGGGTATGATGCGTAACTTGAAGTTACTGTGGTCAAACTTGTTGCAGGAAGCTGACTGTGCTTTTGCAAAGGCTAATACGTATTCCCTAATTTATAGGTTTGTGCACTGAGGTTGTACATTTACGGCAACGACTGCAGTGACAAAAAAATACCTCCCACTTTATTCCTGTTTCTCTCTGGTGGTGGTACCTCACTAAAAACTTGCAGCAATAAAACCAGCTAAGCTTATAGTCGTGCACGTGGGAGTTGTTAATTTCCCACTAAGTAAACCAGTTAATTCACCTTAATTTAATGAAGCAAATATGACTTTTTGGAGAAGGAAAATGCAAATATATGGTTTTAAAATTCCAATTTTTAGTCACATTACCAGATTAATAGCCCTATATAGTACTCTTCTAAAGGCATAAAAATTATTGAGGAATAGAGTATTCTGCTTCAAGTTCTGTAGAGTGAAGGCATTTGATCCTTTTCTTGGATATGCTTGATGTGTATTTGAGGCTCTGGGAATCTGTGTAAAACAAGGGCATATATTAAATCACTTTGCCTAAAATATCTGTAAAATCTGTACTTTTAAGAAGAGGGTGAGTAGTATTAACAATGGATTGGCTTAGTCTTGTAGTATCCTAACTGTCTGGACTAATTACCTCTTTAAAATGTCCAGAAAGGATTTAACTTCTTAAGTCTTGGTTTCAGGTATGCTAGTACTAAGTTGACATATCGCTCCGAGGTTCTGACAGCTAGATGTGTGTGCCAGTGAGAGTTAACATTTAAGACTATTAAAAAAAAAAAAAAGACAAAAAAGCTCTTGAGAATATTTTTTTCCCCCTCAGTTTTAACTAATTATAAATTATATTTAATCTGACTTATTGTTTAGGTAATTATGACTTTATTTTATTTTATTTTTTTACAGTAAGATATTTGAATTTTGATTGCTATTTCAGGGACAGAAATAACAGATTGGCAGAAGAACTGGGGCAGGAGCAAGTGAAAAGGAAATATTATCCTGAGCCTATATATGAACTAGATTGCTTTAGGTATTAAAGCAGCATTTGAAAGCACCATACATCAACATGATAATGTTGTGGTTGTGAGAGTATGAATTATTGCCTGGCTACTGGCAGATGAGACAGTGTTTTTGCTAATGATGCTGCATGGAAATATTGGTCCCCTTTGTGTGCAGACTGGGTCTTGCTTAGGCGATGAGGTCTCTCGCACCTCGAGCAGTTGTGCTTTTCGATTCCTATTGCTCCGTACCGCAGGAGGAACAGCACAAATGCCGCTGTGCCCAGGCTCAGAAATGACGGCGTGTTAACGCCGTCTCTGTTTTTCCCCTTCTTTTGCCTCAGGAGAAGCTGTGCTCGGCTCGGACCTGTGGCTCATGCCGCACGGTTCCCCCCGAACTGGCCGGGCGCTCCCGCCCAGGGGCTGCGTGTCGGCCGGGTGTCTCGCGCGCTGCTCGGAGGGGATGCCGGCGGCTGCCGAGCCGCGGGAGAGCAGAGGAGATGCGGCACCGGCAGATGGGCCAACCCGAGGCAGGGAACCAGGCCAGAAGGAATGGTCGGAGGAGAGAAATGACAGAGGGGGAAGATAAGGGGAGGCAGTAAGCTTGGGGAGACTGGAGGGTGGTGGGTGAAGAGATGCAGGAGAACTGGGAGGCAGAAGAAGATTCCTCAGGTCTTCAAAATCTGTAGAGATGGGTATTTTGCACCCCAGGCTTCAAGGATTTGCACTGTGCTGCTGTGACCCGTGTGTTTTCCCAAGGCTTAAGGCACTGGCTGTTTGGGTAGCTTTTAATATTCTTTGCTATTTAATGTAGGTTTGCTTCTGCAAAACCAAGTCAGCAATTTAGGCAATTTTAAAGGAGATTATGTCTTCCAGAGTCTTTAATTCCCTGCAGTTCATTCACCTTAAGATTTGATGTGCACAATTAACTTCAGATTTACACTATTTGAAAGTAAGAACTGTTTTTTGTCTCATTCTACAGCTTTATATTATTTTCCACCAGTAGCTTAAACTTTTGACATTTGAATAATTTCTCTGGCTGAGATCTGCAAATTCATTTGTATGCTTGAAATGTTCATGTGTTTGAAGAAATATTTTGGTAGTGATACTGCCTGGTCAAATTTAGACCTCTCCATCAAGTTCTCTGTACACATTTAAGAGTTTAAAAATAGAGTTGTCCCAAGGCATGCCAAAAACCTGGAGGCAGTCAAACTAATAGAAATATGTAAACTTTCATAATATGTTTACTGCAGGGAGAAAAATATGCCGAAGCTTTTGCTTTCAAAAAGCCTTTGTCCAAGGCTTCTTAAAAAAAAAAAAAAAAAAAAAAAAAAAAAAAGGGAAAAAGAAAGATTGTCTACAGTTATATTGTAACTCCATTTATAGACATTGAAACACGTTAGTATCCACTGGATTCTACTACAGTGCTTCCTTGGAAGAGTGCTGGCCAAGCAAAGTTGATATGACCTGTGAGATACCCCAGATTTTTAAAAGCTGACTATGCTTGCTCAGATACATAAATGGAGAGTTTGGAGCCAGGGTGTTAACATTATTAAAAAAAAAAAAAAAAAAAAAAAAAAGTTGTAAAACCATATACTTCGAAGGGTTGATCCGATGAAATTTCTACAATTTGAGTCTATGTTGGTGAAATCAGGGCATTGTATAAGGAAACGTAGAACGTGTGATGATTTCAGCACAGTGCTGGGGCCAGTCTTTGCACCGGAGAGGCTGTATGCACCTGTGTCACCCAGGGAGCTGGGGAGAGACTAGACTTTGGAACACTGTGTTTTAATCTCTTGTGGTGCTCCCTGCTAGGACACTTCCATCCTTGGCCCATTGTGTAAAGCAACAATTCTGCAGCTGATTATTTCTCCTTTTCTGTTGCATCATGGAGGCACACTGCTGAAGCAGTGATTAAGCAACCCAGAGCAATGGAGCCGGGGGACCCTGTGGTTGCTGGCAGCCCTGCTACTGCCTTTTAGCATCTGAGTGTGGACTCCAGTGTGGGAAGGGATGTGGTTCCTAGGATCCTTCATCTGCCCTTTTTCTTATTTTCTAAGCTGACTAGGTGGGAACTCCAAGCTATGCTTTTGTCAGGTGGGCTCCATCCCTGCCCAGCTACCTCCTGGCACCAGCACCATTGCAAACTGCTCCTTGGTGGTGGTACCTTCCCACTCCCCTATTTCCTATGCATTTCTCCCAGAAGGTTGGATAAATGCACCCATTTAGACATAGCTGCAGGAGCTGTTAACTTCTAACAGTCCTAATGTAAATCTGTTCTCGGTAATTGTTGGCATTTTCATGTTCAAAATAAGACTTTTATAACTGGATCTATTTTGGCAAAAATAGAATGACTACTTGACTAAAGTAACCAGCATATTTTTTGGCCTAAATTGCCCAACTTCACGAGCTTTTCTCAGATCGAGATTGTTTGAATGCTATTCATACAGGTGGATAAGGGCTAAATAGTGTGAGTAGATGCAGCAAAGTTGTATTATTAGTTGTTTGTGAAGTGCTATACGAATGCTGAATGACAATTTGAATCTACTTTCATAGTTTCAGTCATCTTTTTGTTTGTTTTGGCTTTCTTCTTATTCTTCAGAGGAAGAGAGCAAGAATTTGGAACATTTTTAGGAAATGAGAGCCAGATTTTCAGATGTAAAACAGGAAAGACTTAGGTCTCTCAATTCACAAAAGTCTTAGCAAGTTGCCTAGACACCTAAACTGCAGGATTTCTGTCTCCTAAGTTAGCTAGCAAAAGCTCAGTTATCTCCCCAAATTACCTGGTTGCCTTTCAGGAGTGATTTGATTTCATCAGTCCAGGTGGTCATGTCTCCACGACGCCTGATGGGCCACATTTTGGATAGCTGGGCTTGCATTTGAATATGTTATCTCAGCTTGGTGTACAGACTTTCACTGTGACTGCTCCAACCCGCTTGTCTTTCCCCACCACTACTTTTTCTGTTTCTGGCCAACATCTTGCTTTTTCAGCATTACAGTTGCTTTTGCAAAATGATATTGTACATACAGTGCCTCTCTTTCTTCTTCTAACTCCAGTGTAATACAAGGCATGGGAAGCAATAGTTTCACCGAGCAGAGATAACAAGGACTGGACAGTTTTAGGTGAAAACTAAAGCAATGCTCACAGTCTTCCAAAGTGTTGGTCAATCACTTCGTTGTCTGACAGCTGATGGGAAGAAGTTGATCCACGCTCCTAGCACAGCCCAACAGTGGGCAGAAGAACTTCTTGTCAAGTGAAATGGTGAGTACCTCCTTCTGATATTGATGTTCGTTCAGGAGATGGATGGGCTGGGGGGAATCCTGTGTTTTGGGAGTAGGCAAAAAGGTCCAGTGGAGGCTGCTCCAGAGGACCGAGGAAAGCAGGCTTACCCAGATCCCAAAACTATCGTCTCTGCCTTTGCAGGTTACCACCTAGGGGAAAGGAAGGACCCTGGAACTCATCAGATCCCAACACTGAGACCACCTCATGGCTCTGGGTTAGCTGTACTATAAGACCAGAGATTTTTTTTTAAGGGCTATATGGTACTGAATCACAACTGTACCACATCTAACAGAGGAGCCCTTAGCAGCAGACCAGGAGGAACAGCCCATTTATGCCTCGGCTCAAGTGGACATCTATCATCCAACATTTACCATCTGATACCTGCCCAGGAAAATTCCAAGCAATGGTTATCTCTGGATTCCCTTTCTCAGAAGACAAAATAATTTTCCAGAGAATTTCCTTTGCTACTTGTTTCTTCACAGGCTTCCCTCCCACAACAGGATGATGCTGAATTTGATCTCCAAAAGCCTTTAGATCTACACTGTTTTCTTCCTACTGCAAATGGACTCCAAACAAGATGCCTTTGCTCTTTGACAAACCATTTCTCCTCAGATACTTCATCAACCATAGCTCCAGAGGCAGAGAGTGCCACTTTCCTGGCCAAGGCATGACGTGCCATCTTAGTGCTGCAACCCCTGCTATTTTCTCCTGAACACATCTCTTGTGGCTGATGTTGTGCAATCTGCATATCCCAACCCAGCAAACGGCATGAAGACCAGGTCAAGTAAACATGTTGCCAGACTGCATCCTGGCACCACCACAGGAGTGTGGAGCAGGTTCTGGGAACCAAGAGTAGAACAGCTTAGGTGAGTTGTGGGGCCACAGGTGGGATGACATCTCACAGCTTGGCTCTGGAACGGGGTGCTTCTTATGGCCTCCTTCACAGCTGGTGCTGCTGTCACCACAGCTGTTGCTGGGATGATGGCAAATTCAAGGATGGCGAGGCCCACCTCAACAGCGGCTCATTCCACCATGTCCAGGCAGTCTGGAAGAGAGGGACTGTGGACCAAGAGAGTGTTAGTGCAGGAGAAACAGGCTTGGACACAGCAAGAGATGACCAGCAGCAGATGGTGGACAAGGCCCACAGCACAGAAGTATACTGATCTGCCTGTCACTGTGTACGAGTGATGAAGAACCATCTCCTTACACTTCTTTAGCGCTCCAACTTCATTCTCAAGGGGTTGGCAGGTGGATGTAACACTTGTTTCTGACTTTGTTCCCTCCTCTATTTCAGTAATAAAGTCCCTAATGTTACAGTTTTACCTGTCTCTGTGTATTGTCTTATTGTCCTGACACTTTAGCCACACGCTGTGTGCCCCTGGCGTCGCACTCCTTTGCCTAAGACCTTTATGGACTTGCAAACTGGGTATCTTTGTGCTTCAGTGCCTCGAAGAACCCTGTCCTGTAGCGTGCTCAGAGGTGTGAGGACTGTCTCGCACATGCCGGGAGCAATGATTTAGCACAAAATGCAGTCAGTACCTCCTACTCCACCCCCCTACCAGCCTTGCTGTATAGCTGCGTGGGTGACTGAACCCGATTCATGTGCAAGTGAACAAAGTGGTAGGCTATTACATAAAAAGGAGGAGACAGTGCTGCTGCTTTTGGTCATGGGTCATGGTTTGGGTGGTGGCTCTCCATTTTTTAAGTGTGTAGGGGTTGTAAAGTATTGTGCCTTGACTGGTGCAGCAGGTGGGTTGCAAAGTCTGCAAGGCGTGGAGACAGTTTTCCATCCGATCTCTCCAGCCTGTCCTGCTTGGTTTGGTTTCCCTCCCTCTATGCTGGCTTTGGCTGATGGCCATTGCTGGGCACCTACTTCTACCCACTCACCTTAAAGGTGCTACTGTACCGGACAGATTTAGGGGAGCTTCATTCCCAAAACTCAGGACCTACACATTTTTTGATGTAGTGATCCCTACCAGTCCCTTTTACGGATCTGCCCTTGTATTTATGAGTGCAAGCTTTATTACCTCTTCCTGCAATTTCTGTAACCAGTTCCTCATACGCATGTATTAGAGCCGTGCTTTGGCAGAAAGCAGCAGCTAGCCCCACGTGGGGAGCGGTTGCTGGCTCTCCATTGTGTTACACGTTTCTTTAAGGACGCCTGGGAGACTTCATGGCCAGTCTTTGATACTCTTCCATGGTTCAGGATTCTAGCTGGTGTGTATACAGCATTATTTTCTGAAATCCTCTGAACATTACAAGTAGTTATGTAAAGAAGCAGCATTTAGGGAAAGGATCGAATGCGATGTACTGCTGGAAGCAAGCCTGACGGTGAAGGACTGCACTTGTCCAGTGACATGCCCCTTGTCCAAAGTGGTGGCTGCAAATGCTGCTGGGTTTCTGTGTGCATGCTGTTGGGGTCAGCTGAACAGAGGGAGGAGCACTTGCAGTCAGCAAACAGCTTTTTAAGCTATTGATTATTGTTGCTGTTATTAAACATGGGAAAAAGAAGGGGGAAGAAAAAGAGTTGGAGACCTCCCCGTCTGAAGTCTAGGGGCTGATAATCCAAAGAATAGTTTCTATTCCTTTTTCTTCTTCCCTCACCTTTGCTTCCAGGCAGTCGTTTTAACAGTGATGTTGAGTGTAACAGCAAGGAAGAGGGAGGGAATTATTCATTATACTAATTATATAATTAGTTAAAAGGAAAACAAAATGTTAAATGTTTTAGTGAGTATGATTAAGGCAAGCATGAATTTCATACTCTTTAGGTCTCGATTTTTGGGGACTCATTGACTTTATGTCAGACTTGGAATGAAATCTGGAGGACAGTTTATTGAATTAGACTTTATTCTGGTAAAGCTGGAGACGTGTGTGAGAGAACCCTGCCAATCAAACTGCTCAAATATAAATTATCTCCTAAAATCAGAACTGGCTTGGGCAGGCAGGTTGCAGGGAAAACCTGCAGCACAGACCAGAGGATGCACCCACCCCAAGGCTGCCAGGAACAATGGAGATGTACCTTTTTTAATTTATTTTTGCTTTACAAAATACCCATGAGCCTGTGGATGTGGAGTGTTATAGTGTTTTTTTCCCATGGGACGGATAAAGCTCAGTGTATGTTAACTCCATCTTCAGTATTTCCTTCATTCTGATAGGAAATTGATTCCTGCCACTGGAGAAAAACAGTGCATAAAGAATGGGACATTTTTGCCTGAACTTTGAGATGCCATTCAGTGTAATGGATGAAAACCAAATATACGCTGCCAGGCCTGCCTTTGACAAAATACAGCCAATCCTTTCTCTGTTCCTTTTTCTGCCTGCAGCCAAATGGTAGTTTGTTGTCTGTGCTGATGCTTAAAATTCTGGAGAGGAGGAGAAATGCAGAATTACTACTTTTTGCCCTGAAGAATTGGGAGAGGCAGCTTCAATATAAAGGATTCTTTTCATTATATTACATTATACTGCTTTCATGCACATAGTGAGCCTGCTGACCTCAGTTTCTTTGGAAAGTGGGCTTTTCATCCTGGTGTTCCTGCATGCTATGAGGAGGAAAAATGCTTTCCTTTACCATTGCCACATATAAGAAATGCTAAAGCAAGTGGTCCGTAGGATCTAAGGCTGAAGTAAAGTAAATTAGCATATTCTGCACTACATGGGCAGTCCTTCATGACTCTGCTTTATAACATGACAGTTACTTTAGTAATACTTTTGTTCTTTTCCCATAACAAACCAAGCTAGAAAGGGAGTCCAGGTAGCCCTTATCCTGGCAGCTGGGGTATATCTTACTTATCACTCTGAGCTGCACCTTTATCTTCCTGCCATAGATATAATGTAATAAATTAAGTTACACAGGATAGCTGTAGTATTTGAAATAAACACTCCAGTAAAATTCCTACAGCAGTGAGCTCTAGAAAGGGTAATTGTTGGACACAGGGCAGCATCTCTGCTTTGGCTAAGATGAGGCCTTCCAGTTTTTATTTCTCTTTGAGAATAAGAACTGTGCTTTTAAGGGAAAATTGAGATTCTTCCCTAATAATCTGAATTTAGCAACCAATCCCTAAGTTTGTAATACTCTTCTCTCAATCAGAAGCTGGAAGGATCTGGTAAATCTTGTGTAAATTGTTTGGTGAAACTGCAATGATTGTGAAAGGTGTGCTGAAGCAGACAAAAAGTAAGTAAGGGGACACCTTATGCCCAAGTAGCAAAAGATTATACATAGAATGATCTTGTGTCATAACAACAGCTCTGCATTAATAAAAGACAGGGCTGTGCTCTCTTGCTAGCAGATTAACCTAGTACCGTAAACAAAGAAAAGGTAATTAACTGATTGTGTGGTTTGTTTTTTTTTTCTTTTCCAAGGTTCAGATCATCCACACAGCCTGTCTTACAAACTGGAACTTGGATCTGACCAGGAAATACCATCTGACTGGTATCCATTTGCTACTGTCCAGTTTGTCATTCATGATACCTGTGCCTCAGGAACAGAAGTCAAGTCACTGGGCATAGAGAGCGACCTGCAGCCCCAGAAACATGTGGTTCAGAAAGCTTTTTACAATTTCCAGGTATTTTCAGGGCTACATTTTCAATGTTTTCCTCCTTTTCTTCCTCCCCATTCCCTGATACAGTATTTGCAAAGTGAATGTGCTTTGTACTCTAAGCATATCTTGCATATCCTTGTAATAATGACTTTGAGCAAAATAGTCATTAAAAAATAATTCATTGTCTGATCAAAATTATGCTGAAAAATAGAACTGCAAATGCAGCACTGTTTCATCAGTTGAGCTATTTTTGGGAGTAGTGTGTTTGAAATCTGTTGGGTCTGGAAATGTTTTGATTCTGTGTCAGAGCTTTTATTTGTGCCATTGCTGCAGTTCACACTTTCAGTGCCCAATTATTTGCTAATTCTACCTGTCTTTTTTTTGTTTCTAACTACAGGTTGAAATTGAAAAGAAGTGGATTAGGCTCGATGGAGAAGATCCAGATAAGGCTGGCAACTGCCTAATGCAGTAAAAGAGGACAGGAGGCACCATCATAGGATATTAGTAGAAATCAATTTACATAGGAAATTCTATTGTTAGAAGTGCAGTGACCTAGTTTAGGATAAACATGGTCATTGTATTTCTCTTTTTTTTTAGAGCTTTTGGGTTTGATTCTGCAAATCAGTGCTTGTTTCACTGGGCTGCGTTCAAATAAACTTCCTGTCATGGGAATACTGGTATGAGTAAGGTCTCCTTATAAAGAGTTGCAGGATGTGAGCACTTAATTGACTGATCGTGATATATTTTTTTCCTGTTGTGTATGTGTGACTTGGGAATGATCTCATACTCCATACTGAAACTTAACGGCACTACTCAAAGAGTTCATGTCACTTGGACATATAATATTCAGCAAGAAAAACTGCCGGAGTGCTTGTGTGCAGACCAGCATCTGTGTAAGGTCCAGCAGGACCAATTACATTTTTTAGTGGTGTTTGAAAACTGAAGTCCCCCATCTTTCTGCTCCCCTCAATATATAAGAGCAGAACAAGTCATAATATTATTCTTGACAAGAGCCTCAATTAATGAGTTGGAAACTGGGTGATTTCATTGGTAAAATGGGAAAAGTTCCTCTGCAGTAATATTCTTCATTTTTCCTCCCCAGCACTTTATAGGTTCACTCAAAGTAATCTCTCGGGCAAAAACCCATATGGCAGATGTGTTTGAAATTTCTGTGCTAACATCTTTTTCACTACTGTAGCAAGCGTGACAAGGGGCGGATCCTCAGCAAATTTAAATGAGCCCAGGGCCATTTTGTTTGACGAAGCTTTGAGAATTTACACCAGCAGAGGGTTTTCCCCACAAGCTGAAGAAATGGTTGGTTGCTGCCGTTTGCTCTGGGTCTCCTTTAGGATGCAAGTTCCAGATGTTGGTTTGGAAACTGCAGGAACTGTTCCTTTGAGTAACTTTTAAGACAGTTCTTTCCATGCATGGGAAGGAAGATGTTTTCATGCTACTGGCTCTAAAGGTGTTTTCTGTGTGGAGACAATGCAGGAATGGACTGTTGCAAAAGAAGTGAAGCTGTGACGTTTCAGCAGGCAGCTGGAGCTACTAATCCTGTCTCAATGTGCTAACTGTGTATTCAGCAAACTATTGGCATTTAGGGAAAGGTTTTAATGCTTCCCCTCAGCCATTATCACCTTTGCCATTTTCTGCAGCCTGTAATTCTAGGTCTGAAAAACTCTGAGAAATTAAAAAAATGGTCCTGATACTTCCCTCCCTCCCCCCCTGCAGTTTTCCTAAAATTATCCTTACTTCAGACTGAAATTACTGGAGAACAAAAATATAGTAATGCACTAAGTCTCACTTTATATTTTGTCACAGCTTGTAACTGTTTATATGAACACTGTGTAAAAATACAGATAAATGTTATTCCCCAAAAGTAGAAATATGTGGGATATGCACTGAGAAAATTACCAGTCTGAGGAAACAGAAGGCCATAATATGAACCTAGTTCATCACAATAAACTTTTCCCCCCATTTGGAAGCTGAGAATGAAATGGGTAATAGATTCTATAGTAGGTCCTGAGGGCAGGTTTTTTATGGGTATTGCATTGCCAAAGCCTCAAATAGACTATTACGGTATTTTGGCTTCTCAATATATCCCTTTTTATTAGCAGATTATATTATTATAAATCTAAGCAAGTGTTTGAGTGTAGTAGTGATCCAAATATGTCTCAGCTGTTGCATCCTCCATCATTGTTTTGACTTGAGAAGCCATTAGCACCTTCATATGAAGTTTGGTTTGTTTTATTCATATTTAATTTTGTTTTATATACTTCTCAGCTGAACTAAGGGGCACAGTGTGCACTAGGGTGAAGTGTTTATGCTCAGCATCACAGCAGAGCTCTGCAGTTTGCTGAAGTCCATGGTTATACTAGAGCTACAATATCTATTAACTTCTTTGCTCAGTAAGGTAGAGGAAGAAAAATATGTGTTGCAGATATCTGCACTAACCTTTGTCTGAGGCTGACTTGTTTTGATTGGCATTAATACAGCTAATTCAGTAAATCTGTTAGCAGTGGTTATTGTCAAAAGCCTGTCTTGCCCAGCTGGCCTCTATTTTTCTGCATTTAAGGAGGGACAGGCAGGCTGTTCTGGGACTCTTTCACTTTAGGCAGAATATTTGCAGCAGTCATCTCCTGGGTGTTTGGTACCTTGTGGTGTTATGGGTCTGGCAGAAGCAACGACTGATTTTTCTTCTGTCAGGTGTCTGCCTCATCTCAGGAGGTGTTTAAGAAACCCATTCAGCTCAATATGAGCTATTGTTTTGAATGGCCTAAGTGATGAACAGCCACATTAGAAGTCATCTTTCCTGCTAGTGAGTCTGTACTATATCTGGTATGGTGCAAATGATCTTTTGGCCTTACTGAACCTGTTAACATAAAAAGGTCAAGCTACAGCTTTGTCTCCATTGCAGACTCTTGGATTTCCATCTGAGGCCTGCAAGACTGGCCATTAGCTTTCATCGGAATTGGATCGACATCACAGGGAATTAATTCCACAGAAATATTGCCACACTGAAAGGAAGTTACTCTGTTTAATGCATGGCTTTCAGTTTGAACCTGACAATTAGTGCAGCCTAAGGCTGAGTAATTACTCTGTTCAGTCTCAGACTGATGTTTGTAGGCCTTGATGTCAGAATATTTAAAAATAGGCTGCAGCTCAATGGAAGTTTGGGTTCTCTGACTTTCCCCCCCCCCATCAAATTCTAACTTCCTATTCTATTGCAACATGCCAAAGCAGAAACACCCTGGCTTTCCCCTTTCTTCTGCATTGTTGGATGTCCTTGAGTATAACCTACTGAACAAATCCTCTCAATGCTTAAGACTCATTTGCTAATATTTTCTACGAATGCTACAGCAGGTTATAGTGAGTAAACATATACTGGCTTTAATTCTTTAGAAATCTGGGCTATAAGTAGTATAACTGTAATTTTGGCAGGGGAATGGAGATGAGGAACAGTTGGTCTAAGGTGTTGTGATGCTCAGTGTCCAGCTAGCAGAAGGACTGGAGCTTTAAATAACCCATGAGGTACATTGGCATCGTGTGAGGAACCAGGTTTCACATGTCTCTGATCTCTGCTTCCCATAGCTAGCACCTGCAGTCACTGAAATGCTTCCAACTCTTTGGATCACCTAGGATGCTGACACATCACTAACATTTACTACAGGGCAGTATTTAGATATTATCTGTGTTTCTTTCACAAAGGACCATCAGGGTTGGGGATATTTTATATTTTAACCAGAAATCAATAAGAACAGCTATTTTTGTAGTGTTTGCCTTATTTACGAAGTGACGCGTTTGCTGAAACCAACAAACTTTATCTTTGCATTCATCTTTCTCATACTACTTGTATTGTTTTCAGTAAATGCTACTTGATGCAATTGTGGATTCAAACACCCGTTGAAGTCAACGGAAGTCTTTTAACTGAAAAAATGGGGTCTGCATCAAAGTCTCTCAGAATAAAGGAGAGGCAGGAAAAAAAAAAAGAAAGGAATAGTGGTAATGAGCAGATAAAAAAAGCACTGTAGAAAATTCTTGATGCTAGTAAGCAAGCAACCTGCAATGCTTGCTTATACCAACCAGAAAAGAGCACGGAAAAGAGGAAAAGAGGTGTTATTTGGTGTCAAAGCTGAAGCTTTGCAGTGATTGGGAACGATGGTCTGGCTGCCCCTGTGTAGCAGCTCTCGAGAAATGAGGATGATGGCATGCTCCACTGAACATGATGACAAGCCACTGTCATCCTCATGCTCCTTGCTTTTTATTCATCCAGGTTCTGTATTAATTGTCCAAAAATACTTTACATCTGAAAACGTGTTTTCACGTGTTTCTTTTAGTTGCATTTATTTTACTTGACGGACTTCTTAGCTGCAGTATTGGTGTGCATACTTCTACTTTACATTTATTTGTCTTTTTGATGCCTAAACACAGTAAATAACTGCTGCAGTTAGTAGTTCTTATCTATAATTTTGATAACTCTGAAGCAGTGCTGTTATTTTTAATGGAAAATATAGTTCTATTTGGGTCTTCTGTCAGTGTAAGTATAAACAGATCATACTGATAATCTTGTAATAACATTTTGTAGATTGCATATTGATTAAAAAAAATAAAGTTGTATTTCAAACTAGCAGTTTCTTGTCCCCTCACTAGAAATTTATCAAGCTGGTTTTATGTTTACTATAATTAACTGGTCAATCTGATGTCGTCAGGTGTTGCAGTTTATTAGAAAGAGCAGTTCTACTCTGTGTGTGAGTTGGGGACATCACTCCTCCTCTTAGCTAAAGCTAGTTGCAGAAAGCTGAACAGTGCACTACATTCTATTAATGATCATTTATGGCAGGCCCTTTTCCTGCCTTATTTGCATGACAATACTAAGAATACTGTGTTTTTTCCTACTGAGTACTTCCTCTGATCTCTCTGGGATATTTGAATATAATGTAGCGACAACTGTTTAAGACTTTCAGAAATTTCTAAGCCTGTTCTTGAAATGAGCTGTTACTAGGGAAATAGTGAAACCTCTGTGGGGAAATAAGACAGAGGTTTGTGGGGCAGCATTCAAAGAGTGGGCTTAAAGTATAAAATAACCATGCCGCTTGTTCTGTGCTGCTGTCTCTGTAGCAAACCAGTCGGCTATTCTGGGAAAAACTGGGAAATAAAATTAACATCAATTTCACTTAATTGGTATTCTATCCTTCAGTGAGCACCTGCAAACAGAAAGCAGGTGTCTAACAGAAGTATAGACCCCTTCCAGAGCTTAAACAGTTTCCAATATTTAAAAGTATCAGTGAACAATATGATTCAGGTACATGAGTTCAAGTAAAAACATGAAAATATTTATTTTGGGGACACTTTCTTTGTATGTGCTATGCCTAGTATGTGCTATTTTGTAGCCCTGTTCTTGTTAAAAACAACCTGTAATTTTTTACAATAACAATCATAACATGTTGTAAGTGATGGTCATGCTCCCTGCTGAAGCCTCACTGATATAAAGAAAAGAAAAACCATTGGCTCAAATTCTGCTTTGCCATCCCTCAAAATCCCGTATTGCATTGTGATGGCCTTTTCAGTTTAATATAGAATAACTTTCACTTCCATTTCTATATTGAACAACAAAAGTCTGAGGGGAAAAAATCAGAAGTGGGGATGTGCTGGGAGCAGAAGAGACCCACACTGAGTGACTGGCAGTGGAGGTAAGAGGGAGGAGGCAGGGAGCTGGCAGAAGGAAAGGGCAGCAGGCAGAGCTTGTTTGTGAGGGCTAAGGAGAACGGCTGTCTCTAAGTCAAGGTGAAAAGTTTACCTAAGAAAGGGACTGAAATAGAAAAGTGGCAAGGAACCCATGCAGAGAATATCCTTCAAGGGAAGGTATTGAGAACAAAGCTGCAAGTAGCTGCAGGGGAAAAAATTAACTGAATGCTGTCCTGGGGTGGAGAGGAGGAGTTGGGAGTTGGGAGCAGCTGACGAAGGGGGGACCATGTGCAGAGCCACGGGAGACACAGCAAGGTGGCTGTGAGACTGATGGGGCACGGTGGGAGGTGCCCGACCTGCACAAGCCTGGCTGGTGCCTGCCTGTGGCGTGCCACGGCGCCGGGCAGCTGGCCCTGCTTTCGTGCAGTGCGTGCTGCCGTTGCGCCCCGAGCAGAACAACTTGCTCGGTCTGTCTTGAGCATCCCCGCATCACATCTGTACAGCTGTCGGTCACGGTCACCTGTCTTCCTGGACAGGAAGGTCTTGCTCATGCAAGGGACCACTGACACAGTCATGCTACAGGAGATGCAATAAAAATATCAAAAACCCCCTAGCAGTGGAACAGGGAGGATTTAAAGCAAGAACTTAGGCACAAGTCTGATGATATCCAGAGGTAAACTACTGCTGTAACCTTGCTGGACTGCTCTCTAGGGAGGGATGCTCATCTGTCAAGTCATCTGTAACGTTGAGTAGATTTTACTGTCATAATGTAAGTACTGACACCAGGATTTAGATGACAGTTCATCTGAAATGGGGGGAGCCATCCACTGCCTGGAGAGAAAAGGTGAAAGGCTGTTTTAGCCCTCTTCATAGAAAGCCACTATTGAGTATCTTTGCTGCTAATTGTGTGGTTATAGTGTCAGAAGGGGCGTGCAGAAAATCTAATTCAGGTAGATCTATACAAAAGTGTGTAGGGGAGAAGACAAAGAGTGAAAAGGTGTGTACAGTTAAGTATTAGGGCAGTGGGAGCCCAACCACATTTGCTCAGAAAGGGGACCTCAAGGAGATGACATTAAGCAAACATCGGGGTCCTCAGATAAATGCTTCCAAGACCCAGTATGGCAATGCAGGTTAGTCTTTCAACATCTGAGTTATTCTTTAGTAGAGTTAAATTGGTATCAATTAGACAATAAAAAGGAGAATCTGACTGCTAAACTGTGCTTCAATCTGTCTCTCAAAGTCACTCGGTGGATGATTTTCATGGTATGGTTGGTGCTGCAAAACCCACTGCTGGTGAAAGGGGCTACTGTGGTCACTCAGCTTTATTCCTCTCCAAATTACCAAATGCAAAGTTAGAGAGAGCAAATTGGCCTTGACCAAAACATGCTGCTCTGCTGTTATTTAACTTCGCACTAAAACTGCTGGACTTCTGCAATCATCTGCCCAACTATGGACTTCCAGCAGCTAATTCCAATAAGGAGAAATGATGTTTTTGACATTTAGTCTCCCACTGCATCTTGCTTCTGTGTGGTTCTTCATGCCCCTGGAGCTAGTCCCTCTCAGCTGGAGCCGGGGAGCCCAGGAGCAGGTAAGTGGCAATTACAGACAAGCGAAGAGTGGATGGGACTTCAACCACTGATAAAGGGGGGGTAAAACGAGATGGCAGGGAAGGGATTTAGAGAGCGATGAATGCAAAGACAAAAGAGGAGGTAGACTGGGGCTTTTCTTTGGGACACAGGCAGGAGGCTGGGGTCTCTGGGGAGAGAGGATGCTATAAACATCTGTACGTCATACACAGGGAAACAAGGCAGGCAGCAAAGGTGAGGGAACAGGAGACAAGCACTGAGCTGGGCACCAGCAGGAGTGTGGTAGAAAGCAGGGACAAGAATAAGGACAGTGAAGTGGCTGGTGGCTGCTGTTTCTCTGTGAGGCTTTCTCTCCACAGAAGGCATGTGTATCAGGGTAAGTATTTAGGAACAGCAAGGCTTATTTCATCCTTAATTAGGCTTACTCATACTACACAAGTCTCAGGGCTTATCAAGGAGCTGAGATATACAGTACTATTCAGTATATTCAATCCATCAGAACTGCCATTTTTATATAGCAGTTTGTACAGGTCAGAGCCCTTCGTATGCCACCCAATGTCCTGAAAATTTGTCATTAAATTGAATTAAGGGACAGCTCTTTCTATGGTTCCTCTGATAAAGTGGTTTAAATCAGGTAGAAAAGGAGAGGCCCTTGAAGAAACAGGAGTCACACATGATAAATGAAAGAAGAATAAATCACAGATCCCAGTGTTATCTGTCTCAGAACTCCGACAGAAATGATGGAGCTTATAACAAAATCACACTGTTAATAAAATTGGTTATGAGACTAGAGTGTCGTATATCTATGAGTCAACTGCTGAAAACAAAGAGAGCATGTTAGAGAATATCTTTAAAATGAAATTACAGTTCTGTCCATGTCAAGGCATCTTCATGAGGGCTGCCTGCATTCTGCAACCGGTTCCTCCTAAGAATGATTGCTTTTACTTGGAAGGAAGGGCAAGATGGTATTTGTAAAATATGCCTTGAGAAATAATTCTGCAGTCCTGCAGCTGAGTAGCCACGTTCCTCTACAGCGGCAATGCTGGATTTAAACAGAAGAGGGCATTCATTACCAAGCATCTGAATTTTCTGAGGGCTCTCTCTTTCTAGAGGGAAAGCATTTGAAAATGGTATTTTTAAAAAAATGATTAATAAAGGTTCATCATCCAAAAATAAATTTTCTCTACACATCATGTACCAAGAGGAGTATAAATAATTACAAATTAAAACCTGTCCAGTAAACGAATGTTTGAGGTGCCCTTAAGCAGCACCATCCCAAATGCTGACAAAAAACCTGAAAAATCAGGAGGGTTTGAACAGCATGCTAATCTTTTCAATAGCCTGACTTCTAAAACTCTTGCGAGCTGTTAAAGAGACTGCAACAGGGAGAGCTGGATTGGAAGCTGAACCAAGACTGATGAAACCTGGATGCTGTCCTCACCTGCCATTTGTGAGCTTGGGCAAGGTATTTGGTGTGTGTGTGTGTCAGTTTCTTCTCTTAAAAGTGGGGTTAAATGTTAACAAAATCCACAAGCATGAAAATTACCAGAGGATTGCGCTTTATACTGCAGAACACTGATACTAGGTTTAGATCACCAGTATCAAAGCCAGCCAGTCAGTATGAGTAATGCTATTCACAGATATTTTAATACTTTTTTTCTTGCTCAGAGAAGATTGAATATTTTCAGTGTATGCCAGGGTTTCTCATGCTGTTCAGTTGACACTGCTCACGGTGCTTGGATGAAAAGACACCTTCTCTAGGAATTTGTAAAAGAAATGTTTAGTATGTTGCTAAACCTCAGACGAAAGCATAAGTGCC